CAATCAAACCCCCCAAAACCCCCACACAACCAAACAAAAACAAGCAGCCACAACCCAAAACCAAAAAAAAAAAAAAAACCAAACCCACAACAACCAAAGCCCTACACTCCCCCGATGAAAATCCAAACTCAAAACTAAATCAATAGTCTCCAACTATGTTTCCACCCCAGCGTTAGTCTCCTTTATTGCCTTTCTCCTTGTTCATCTTTTTCATTTTCATTCTTCTGTTCTGAAACCAGATTTTGACCTGTCTCTCTGTGAGGTTTAAAATCCTAGCTACTTCGTAACGGCGGTCTCGGGTGAGGTACATGTTAAACAGAAATTCCTTTTCCAGTTCCAGAGTTTGATACTTTGTGTAGGGACAACGCTTTTTCCTCGTTGAACGAGCGTGGATCCAGTTTGCTGCAGGGTTATCTGGAAGAAGGGAGGTATATAGGGAACGGGGAGGGGGGGGGAGAGAAAGGTCGTTAAATTAATTTAACGAAGGATGGACTGTTTTCACAACTTTGGAGGAATTATCATAAAAGCCTTAATGCCCCAGTCTGTTTACTGTACAAATGATGTCTTGATGGTAGGTGGTTATGTGGAGTCTTTTATGGGTGCTTGTTGCTGCTTGCGCTGGGGTAGGCGTCTAGACGTTTTTATAGGTTAGTAAAACTATCAGTTTTGCACATTCGAGCCTTACAGGTTTCAGCAATAAATCAAAGGGGCAATTTCTTTCTTTCTTTCTTTCTCTCTCTCTCGCTTTCTTTCTTCCTTCCTTCCTTGCTTGCTTCCTTTCTTACTTTCCTTCCTTCCTTCCTTCTGTCCTTCTCTTTTTTCTTTCTTTTTCTCCCTCTCTCTCTCTGCCGCTATTCCTCTCTACTTCCCCCATTTCCCGTTTTGTTTTGATTGTCTTTTTCTTTTATTTTCTTTTCTTCTCTTTCTTTCTTCCTTTTTTGGTTTTTTTTAGGGTTTTTTTGGGTTTTTTTTTACTTACTTGGGTCAAGTTGCTGCTGCTTCTCCTCTTTCAGATCGCTGCTCGGGCTGGGGTTGTGGCTGCAGGCTGCGGGCTCCTTGGCGCTGCCGGCAGGCGCTTTCTCCCGGGACTCCTGGAGGAAGGAGCTGCACGTGTACTCGGGCACACCGATCCCCTGGGACTCCCGAGACGAGGAGCATTCAGTCCTTTTGGAGGAGGAGGAAGAGGAGGAGGAAGACGAGGAGGTGGCTGCTCCCGTCTCCGGCTTTATCCCGTAGTGGCGCCCGTTGGAGGAGCCGGAGCTGGACGCGGAGCCGCCGCTGCTGCTGCCTCCGCTGCTGCCGCCGCCGCCGCCGCCGCCGCCGCCCGGGAAGCCCGGGAAGGGCTCGATCCAGGAGCGCACGTAGCGGCCGGCGTCGGCTGCCCCTAAGTGGGGCTGGAGCATGTAGGGGGGGTAGATCCCGGTCATTGCCGCAGACGGCTGATGGTGAACAGTGGACCAGGAGGTGGAAAACACGGTGGATTTTGGTGCAAAGCTACAAGAGGAAAAATCTGAACTCTCTGCAACACCTGATGGCCTGGAGGTCGCACTGTGACCTCCCTGGACGAATCTACTCCCATAAACTTCTTCGCTTTCATGGCCTATGAGAGAATCGACATAATAGTTACTTATGGTGCCACTAGACGACATTTTAGGCTCCCCTCTTAGTCATATAAAAGGTTACACTGTTAACTGTATATGATACCCTCCCGGAGAACAATCGTAGTATTTTGCAGACTGCAACCCTCAACCATTGGTTGTGGAGCCCACGTGATCATATTTACCAATACTGCGAGTAAATCAATCCGCTAAACTGGGGCTGCTGTGATTAAAAAAAAAATCATCATCAACAGCGGCCCCGCACAGCGCTCCGCACCGCCCGCGCCCCCGCACGGCGCGGGGCCACCCGCCCTGCCCTGCCCTGCCCTGCCCGCCCTGCCCGCCCTGCCGTGCCCGGCGTGCCCGGTGTGCCCCCTGCCCGCCCGGCCTGCCCGGCCCTCCCCGCTCTCCTGCCTGCCCTACTTGCCCGCCTGTCTGTCCGCCTGTCTGTCCTGCCGGCCAGGGCGCGGCGGGCGTGGCCGCGCTGGCTGCCCACGGCCGCGGCGGGTGCGGACTATTTCTTCACCTTCGTTGAGCGATTTCTGCCATTCATTTCTTAATCAATGAGAGGCAGGGTGTTTAAATAAATCCAACAGCCTTGGCTTGCTAATCACACTCCAAGCTGCTGAGGGAACCCGCTGGGAAAGGGGGATTCTTGCCTGTAAAAACAAACCATCGCAAGCTGGGACTGTAACGACTTCTCATAAAACAGGAAAATGTTACAGTAAAAGCACATTGCGGTACTTCCATATTTCAGAGCATGTGCGGGTATTATTATCCACTCCCCTCACCCCCGGACAGAAAGTTTCCCTGGAAAGGATACACTTTTAAAAAGAGATGCCCATTGTGTTGTTTTAAAACAGGTGGAAGACCTCTGTAATGATTTTATGCCTTTCAATAAAAATTTTATGAGGTGTATTTGATTATAGATTAATGTGTCCCTAATAAAATGGACGGATGGAAACAGCAAAGCCTCTGTCTCCGAGCACGACTGACGTGTGGCTGAACACATGCTCCTCTATCTGCGGAACTTTGGGGCTACACAGCCTTCACACAGCCCCCCTTTCGGGTGTGCAGCGCGGCCCGGCAGGGACGCGGGCGCAGACAGCCCGGAGCAGGCGGCGCGGCCGCGGGCAGGGCCGCACGGGCGGGCGGGCTCGGGGCCGCGGGCCGCGGGGCTGGCGCTGACCCCAGCCCGCCGGCAGAGCTGTCTCCTCCGCCCCTCGCTCATGGGGAGCCACGTTCAATGCCTACGTGAGGGCTTTTTGCCCCCTTCGCTTTCTCTTGCATGCCTTCCCTCCCCAGCCTTCCCTTCCCTCCCGGCCTGGTTTTTCCTGCCCGAGCGAAAGGACCCCCCGATAGTACTGAAAAGTGGATTACCCATGGTCTTCTGCCCACGCCTGCTTCCCCGGGCGAGGGACGGTGGCTGTGTCGGGATCTGGAGGAAACGCAGAGAGTTAGTGGCGAGCCAGCACAGCCCGCCGGGGGCACGGACAGCAGCGCTGGGAAAACACTTCCTACTCGCGGGCCGTTATGAGGAAGGGACTGAAATTCCTGTTTATTTAATGATTTATTGCTCTCCTAGGTTGTTTTCTTCCTTTTTTCTTTTTTTTTTTTCTTTTTTATTTTTTTTTCTTTTTCTTTTCTTTTTTTTTTTTGTGTGTGTGTCATTTGGCTTTAGCATTTTCTTCTGCCATTTTATAATTTCTATTACATTGTTTTCTAGAAGCAGGGTTTGTGATATGGCAAAGAATTGCCCCTCGTTTCAAAGAGATATAAATTGGTAAAGCAGGCAAATTAGAGTGTGCCTCATTTTTACATACGTTAAACTCTTGGTATGGAGTCAGCTATTTACTTCTCACTGCCGAAACTTCTTTGGCGGTGTAGCAAGCACCTTTAAAGGAAAAGAAAAGGCCGTGCGAATGTATGCAATATTTACGGGGTTGTTTTGTGGGTTTGGGGTTATTGGGGGGGATATTTTTTAAGCATCGTTTTGATGTTTGTTTTCGAAAAGGGAAGGAGCACAAAGTACCTAGGTGCTTGCGGCTCTCGCAGCTCCAAAATGATGATGCCTTGGTTGGAGGAATATATAGCCTCTTCCCTCTGAGTAAATGTGCACATGAGGAAGTACTGGATTAAATTAAATATCAGCGACGAAAGAGCAAACAGAATGCCACCAACAGCATTATGAGCAGTATCTGTCACCAAGTCGCACAATATTGGCACTATCTTGAGCTTAATTTCTTGATTTAGAAAGAGCTTAGGGGAGAAATGGGAGTTGATTGTGAGCAAGCTGGTTTCCCAGCGCCAACAGCAGCCACGCTACTTTTGCAGTGCCCGTTTGAAGGTGAAAGTATGCCCAAGCATTTGCACTTCAGTTTGAAGTCATGTTCATTTGCAAGCTATTTGCAGTTCTACTGAGTATATGTGCTCGCATTCGCCCGCTCCCAGCACACGTACCTTCCTCAGCTGCCAGCGCAGAGCCATGCTAATACTATTTTTCAGCTATGTACAGAAAGGGTTAAGAGTCGTGAACGTCATTAGCTGGATGTGTGCTACTAAAATGGAATTGCGCGAAATAAAACGATCTCTGAGCAAACAGAAACGGTGCAGGGTGACAAAAGTGGGTCTGAAGAGGCTGGTGCACTTTTGTGAGCACGCCTGGGAGGGTTTCTGCTCGAAAAAAGCCAACCTCGCCAGATGCTGGGAATGTTTTGAGGGAATATTTTTTCCATCCATGGTCTTCTGAAAGCTGTTGAGCTGACCGAAAACATTTACTTATACCTAGCTTTGCATTTATTATGGAGGTTTTTTGTTGGTTTTTCCTTCTTTTTTTTTTTTTTTTAGTGAGCAAAGACATGAAATCAAAGTCTGCACATTGTAAGCACGGAGGGAGTGATATTTTTTAAATCAACGTATGAACATCAAATAAAATGACACACATATTCCTGACAGCTTGTAGTAGAAAGATATTTTTATCACTTACCATTTACGAGTTGTACGAGTTGATTGGATGAGGATGTCCACTTAAGTCATAATATTTTACAACTTTTTTATCCGTCCTCTTTTTTTTTTTTTTTTTTTTTTTTTTTTGTTTGTGTTTGTTTTTTTTTTTTTTTTTTTTTTTTTGGGTTTTTTTTTTTTTTTTTTTTGCATTCAGTTTGTCAGACTGCAAACATCACACAACATTTTATCAAGTAATCAGTTGTTTACAGATACATTTATAAATTAATTGGGTATACATCATTTCCCGGCCCAGTCTCCACCCCACCCCGTAGGGAAAAGGAAAAAAAAGAAAGGAAGGGGGGAAAAATGGAGGAAAAGAAAGAAAGAATGCCAGGCAAACACACACAAAGACCAGAATATGGTAAAAAAGGTACACCAGTCCAAAAAGCTGATGACAGAGAGAGATCAGGAGACCAACCTGTATCCGTGCTTCAAACATTTGTAGAAAACCAAAGGAACCGCATCATTTTACAGAGTTTATTGCATTATACATGCAAACAGAACATGCACAAGAAGGACAATTTGCTGCTGAACGACTACTATTCCACATATGCACCACAAGGAAATGTCTACAATGGAGAAGAAGGAAATATTCCATTTTACGAAGGACAATCTCTAAGTTCATTTGAGAGGATAGTTACATTATAATGTGCTTCTCTTTCCCCCCGCCCCCACAGTTTTCCCCCACTCTTTTTCTGAAAGTATTGAATGTACTCAAAATGTTATGGCCCGTGTAACAGCCCCACATAAATACCATTTTGTTAGTAAAAACATGAAAAAGTCACATTGCTTGGATGTTCGACAGTTCCAATAAGTTAAGACCAAATGATAATATTCAATAATAGTTACCCTGCATTACGATGAGAACAAAAATAAATTACACGTGCTAGGTTTTATATATACTCATCATAGTAATACATATTCACTTGCAGCGCTAAAAGAAGGACGAAGAGTCACATTCTATCAGAAAACAAAACAAAACAAAACAAAACTGGAAAATGCCGGGTTTTGCCAGAGTCTCTCCTGCCTTTATCAAGTGGTGGTGCTGTGCCCATTCCTCACTGGTGCCCCCCCCCGGGGTTAGGGTTTAAGAGAAGGTCAGATTAGCGGTCAGTTCCCGGATTCGGTTCTCCCTGCTCATCTTCTTGAGCTTCATTCTGCGGTTTTGAAACCAAATCTTGACCTGCCTGTCAGTGAGGTTTACGCTCTTACTGATCTCTAGACGGCGCTCTCGAGTGAGATACATATTGAATAAGAACTCTTTCTCTAATTCCAGTGTTTGGTGTTTAGTATAAGGACACCTCTTCTTTCTGCCACTCTTTGCAGTTAACCAATTGCTTGTTGGAGTATCAGACTTGATTTCCTCTATCAAAATCAAAGAAGAAGAAAAAAAAAATCAAAAATACCTCAGACTGTTAGAGTGTACCCTTGGCCATGACCCCTCCTCTGCAGTGTCTGGCAGATATGGTGGATGTGGGCATTGCCCAGCGCCCGGCTGAGGCGTGGGCTCAGCCAGGGGACCTGCGGCCAGGCTGGGCTCGCCTGTCCCCAGCCCTGCGCCCTGCCCTGCGGCCACCCCGCTCTCCTGCTCCTGCCAGGAAGGGTCTCGCAAGTTTTCGGCCGGCGTTTAACATTTCAGCAATATTTAACCTGCCGTCCGCCCCATGGACACATCTTAACGGGTCTAGCCTCGCCATGGCCGACTCGGGCTCCCACGACAATTGCCACGGAAATATTCCAATTACAAAATAGTCTCGCACTGTATTTTGAAGCAGCATCCCCACACACATCAGCTGAATCACGCAAGCACACCTATAAACAGATATAGACATTTCCCAGGCAAAATGATATACAAGAAATTACGACCCCCTGTCTTGGAATTTTTTTTTTTTTTCATTTTCCTTTTGGGTTTTCTTTTCCCCACCAAAAAGAAATCTCCCCCACATGAAGCTAGACCTGTACTACTAAACATAATTCAGATAAAGAAATTCTCAATGCACACAGAGGATAAAAATTGACCTAGAGGTTGCAAAGTACATTTTGAT